CCACCCTCTCCAGTACAATGATTTCCAAGTTTCAAATGGTAAGCATTTAATCTCTCTCTCTCTCTCCCCCAGCCTAATTGATCCATATAAATGCCCAACTACAGTGGTCATATTGCTAATAAGATGCTTTAAAGAAGAAACTAGATTTGCTTTTCAAAAAAGAAATGATTTAACACATCCTGATCAAAATGAAATTACAACAACAACCCAGTGAATCAAAATGAAATTACGTAACACATTATTGTGCAATGCTAACTTTGCCTATCTGAGCTTCGCCAGATCATAGTTAGTCCCAAACCCGCATAAAAGACAGTTACAGTAGGCTGGCCGTTGACGGCTAGCTTATAAAATATTCTATATGTGAATTATCTGAGTATTAATTAGAGTGAAAAGGATGCAAATGATGCATATAACCACCCCATATAATTTGTGATTGAAACGTAGTGGATTGATTCATTGTGGCTTTTCGAGTTTTTAAGCCAAAGAGAACTGTGAACCCCATGTTAAGACTTACTGGTTACTTTGTTGTGAATAAACCACCTAGTAGGAAAAAGAAACTGAAATAAAATCTTCTATCAAACTGTAAAATTGTATTTAGTTCAGTCTAAGAAAAAGCAAGCATAAAATGCCAGGGTAATTTCCTGTATACCCAAGAGTTTGATATAATATAGAGTTGCAGAACACCGTAAAGATATCTTCAAGATTTGCTAAGCCTCATGCTTGTTCTCATTTTCCCCTTCTTTTATCATTGTTAATGGAATCACCTCTTTCAGTTCTCAGATATCAGTGCTTTTAAAAGCGAAAAGTGCAAAAAGTAATTACAACAAACAGTGTTTTTCTCTATGAGGAGTGAAGCGCACACTTCTCTGAAGCGAAGCACACAATTTACAAAAAACTAAAAAGCACCAAACATAAATAAATTTAGTACTATCATAACGAAGTTGCAATTAAAATAACTTTTTTTGTGGTTAATGCAATTAAAATAACTAATTCAGCATCTAATTATTTTTCTCTAAAAAATAACTAATTTCAGTATCAAACGTAAAATGATGCTGGTACTAGTCTAACTCCTCAAAGTTGAGATTCAACAAACCGACAGCTTCTTGTTTGGATCACTTTGCAGATCATTGTTTGAAGCCCACATTTCTTTGAAGTAGGACTGAACTGAAATTTTTGGTTTTCTGGTTTCGGTTTCTACATTTATTTGGTTGGTTCATGGTTTAATTGTTTCAATATGTCTGTTCTTCGGTTCGTTTCTTGGTTTAGTGGAAGTTTTTAGAAAAGAATTTCTGGACCATCCTTCTTCCTGTTTCTCTCTCCTGACGGATGATATGATAACTGCAATAATAAAAGTTTAATCCTGTTGACTGATGACATGTTAACTGCAGCACACTATTCTTGTAATATTTGATATGGGTTTGAGTCCAAAGAATTGAAAAAAGCTATTTCAATAGTGTTTGATTGATGATATGTCAACAGTTTTATTTCTTGACATGGGTTTTTCTCAAAGTTGGTACTTTTGATGTTCTCTGGCTTCCATGATAGACTCTTATGGTAATATTTCATTTTAAAATTTGATTTTTTCCCTCTTATTGTTTCTTATGATGCTCGTTCTTATTGAGATATCTGTTTTGCTTTTTTCCTTACTATTTTGATATTTACAGAACTGAAAAATAAAAAGCTACTCCTAAATAAATAGTCTTTGACTGATGATATGTCAACTGATTCTTGAGAAATTCTTTAGTACGTTTCAGTCTTATTCGTGAAGCACAAAATATGTAAAGATACATTTCTTGGAAATGGAAAAGCAGGGTACTGAATTTCCTATGACTGTGATGATATGAAGTAGAAAAAGTAATATAGGAAATGGACTGGGCAGGTTGTTCTAAACTAATACACTTGTGTAGACCGATGACAAGTCTCTATTAATATGTGTCGAAAAGGAACCTGTGGTGCAGCTAATAAGAATAAGAAAAAAAACTAACATTGTCCTGTATAAGATGACACAAGTCTAGTGTGCATGTAAATACCACCAACAACAACAACAAAAAACCCAGTGTAATCCCACAAGTGGGGTCTGGGGAGGGTAGAGTGTATGCAGACGTTACGCTTATCCTTGTGAAGTTAGACAGGCAGTTTCCGATAGACCCTCAGCTCAAGGACAAATAAAAAAAGGAAGCTGTGCATGTAAATACCATTAGGAAAAAAAGGTTGTTCTTTGCTTAGATTAGTAAAAAGGGAATCATAAAAATTCATGGGTGCCCATTTTAATGAGAAAATGTGAAAAGGGTTTGGGAACAAGTACTTGCAAGTGCAGCCTATTGCAAAAGTTTAATTCTGACCCATTTTTTGTCTGGGGAAAACCCCCTTTTTGACAGGCCCAAAACCAAAAAAACTGAATTGATTAAACTGAAGTGAACATGAAAAAAATCGAACTGTACCAAAATTACTACAGTTCAGTTTTGGTTACCGAAATGACAATCCGAAAACGGAAAAAAACAAACTGAACTTTTGTTAAACCGCACCAAAACGACCGACACCCACCCCTACTTTGAAGCGCATGGCTTCACCCATGAAGCAAACCCCTCATTTCACATTGCTTCACCGCTTTAAACAACGAAGCTATGGCTTATAACAATGCTGTCGGCAAAGCTCTCAACAACTATCTTCTGTTTTTGCTATATTACACTCTTTCTTCCATCTGACTATATCAAGCTCCTCACCAGGAACCTCAAAATATTTGGGAGCATATCGTTCTACTGGTGAAATGCCACTAAATTTATTATTGACAAGTTACAATCATATTAACTACCTGCAGTGGCTGTTTGACTTGACGAGTAAGCACATGAAATGTCCAGATGGGATGTGTGTGTTTCATCTGAACTACTACTAATCTACGATTCACAAGCATTTGGAAATAGTGTTTAGCTTTTCATCCCTTTTGTTACTAGGCCTCTTCCTCCAATGGATGGTTTCCCCATTTCTTGTGTTTCTCCAATGTCTTATGGGATGGGAGCATACATTGCGAGTACTTTAATACTAATTGTAACTTTTATGCTTTCTGCCTCCGCTCCTAACCATCACAGATGGTATTTATATATGGTTCTGTCAATTCACTGTTCATCAGATCCCTAAATAAGTCCAAGAAAGGCTATTTTTTTTTAAAATGAAGAATATTTAATCCATTTATACTGATATGAGTTACTAAATTGAGTTTGAAGCTTATAGGTGGCTTCTCGCATATCCACCAATAATGCATGTGATTCTCATTCTCCTGTCTTGCACATACAGAGATATTGACCCATTAATCCTTAAGATCTCTTGATTAACCAAGACAAAAGGGTAAGTGCTCCGTCCCTCATAGGTAATACTGAAGGTGGAGTTTGCCAATAGGAGTTACATATATCTAGGTAGACTAGGTTATGCCGATGCATATACTTGGACAACTGATTTATGTCAGATGTGTTTTGCAAATTTCTTGGTTTTAAGTTTTAAAACTAAACCTGTGATTTGCAGGATTTTCGCTCTTTGCCTGGATGGTGTTGGACAAATTGTATCCTGTAATAATGGAGCATGATTCTGTTAGGAAGATTATCAAGGCTGAAGAAATACTTCTTCAGGAAAGAAAATTGCTTATGGAGGATCATGGTAGAGTTTTACAGGGTAAGATTGCCGAATTGAGAGCAAAAATGAAGAAGCTGGAAACGGATTGTAAGATGAAAGCTACTAAGGCTCAGGCTGCAGGAGCTATTGTTTTGAAATTAAAAAACCAGTTCGAAGAACTCCATCTTAAATATGATCGTTTGCTTGAATACAACCACACACTTCGAAACCAGTTGCAGTCAATAAGCCACGAGGTCCAGATTATTGACGAGTCAGATGGATGGTCTAATTTGAAAATTAAGCTGGGTTGGCCAACACTTGAAAATAATGGACAAAGTGTAGATTTTGAGAATGTAATGGAGGCAGCAACAAAATGTGGTGAGTACCTTGTCTCTGTCAGTCAGTCATCATCCTCGCCCAGACATCGCAGGCCAATTTATCAGTGTTGAGGACAAATAACCAGCTTGCTTTCTTTGAAAGATGCTTGTTTGTGTAAGTAAAACATTTGTAAATTCTCAAAGAGAACTGATGGCAGAATGCTGTACATGCATAGCCTTGAGCTTTATTTTCTTTCCTCTTTTTTCTTTCTGTATTGGCTACTTGAAAGGAGAATAAAATAGTGGAATTCACAATCTTATTTTTTTTTAAGAATATCATGTTGCTTCATTTCTATGGAGTCATTTTTTATTCTCCTTTGAAGTAAAACTCAATTTAGCAGTCCTCCATTTTGCCAGCTTAAATAAACAAGCATCACATTTATTGGACGAACGCTGCGAGAAAGAAAAACAAACAGACGTCCCAGTTCTACCTTGCACCAAAAATAAATAGTAAAAGTGGGGAAAACTTAATAACGCAATTCTATTAGTATATCATAACATCTACTATTGTTTATTTGTTTCATTAATTTCGGCTTCCAACCAACTTAAATTTTCTCTAAACACTGTTTAAATGGTTAAAACTTTTTGCAATAGAAGGGACATGGCAGGTCATCATTCTCCGTGGAATTTATGAAGCATGTCACATGCTTTGATTTTACCACTCTTGTGGCTATAATACTTTACCTGTTTATAAATATTTACTGTTATTATATTATTTTATAAAATATTAAAAATTAAATATCTATGGGGCTTACGCCTCGCTGAGGCATATGTAAAACGCCTCGCCTTACGTAGCCAACTATATAAGGAGAGTTCAAAGTGACAAAATATTTTGTTCCTTTTGCAAGAATTCGGACTGGGGACAAATCAGTGGATTTGACAGCAAAAATGTCGCCGGAGCAGCGCCACATTGCAACCGAGACGGCAGCGGTGGCGCCGCGGCCTATAATGTGGCCTCTGGTCCAGTCCATTTTGGAGAAGAATTTGGTAGGAGCTAGTTAGGAAGTGTAACAAGTTTAGGACATGCTTTTCTGTAACAAAGAGGTTTATATAACGGTGAATGTCCAAATTCTCTTAAAAGACTTGGAAAAGTTGCTTGTGGCCTTTAGACAACTTTAGGTACGCCGGAGGACAGAAATGACTTGGCTTATTAGATTGCTGCCATGTGGCAACTGTTGTAATGAGGAAGTGATAATGAGTAATTAGATTTTACTGGTCCCTAGTTTGACTCAGCACGAAGTTTTGAAATTTGTGATCTTAAAAGTTTAAGGGGTAAAAGCTTTGTGAGTCCATGATATTTGTATGGTTATAAAAATTTCTCATTAAGGGTAAAATGAGTAAAATGAAAAGTATAAAGTTGAATGATTTACAATTATAAAAATGTATCATTTTTTTTTTAAACGGACTAATAAGGAAAGTATGTCATTTAAATATCTAAATTGAAACGGAAGGGTATCAATTATGCTCTGAGAACAAGAAGGAGCCCTTGACTTGCAATGACTAAAAACCTTGAATTACACAAGCAAAAAGAGAGAGAATTAAGCTTCAAGGTTTATAATCAAAGATGTTTCATCTTGAGGCTATTTAGACCAAAAATCAATTAAGAAAAGATTTAGTTGGTCAATTTAGTGAAGTGGAGATGAAGGCATTCAAATTCAATGGAGGAGATTAATCAACTGCTGATTATGACATGACAATTATATTACTTGATTACTTTCTTAACAATACGCTAATTCAAGATCCATCAATACCTTAAATGACCTTCTAGAACCAATGTGGAATTGCTTTTCATCTTGCCAAAGAATGTCTTTGGAAAAACTTGAGGTTTAAACCATTTCAAAACAGTGACAAAAGGGGCTGTTAGTAGTGGTCCGTAACTTGTAAATCAAGACACAAAATCCTACAATGTGGCAAAGTGTTCTCTCATATCCCATAAGAGGCACTAATTTTTAAGTATAATCGTTATTTTAATTCTGTGCAATGTGTCCTCCCCGAAATCATTATTTCTTCGTCGGAAAATTACACTGTTTAGCTCGGTGTAATTCACTAATGTTATTTAAATATCTGCAATGTGTCCTCCCCGAAATCATTATTCCTAATTGAACATCACGTTTTATTTTCTTAATTTAGTCAAAAGAAGATTAAGAATTTGGCTTATATGTCAATCACAAGTGGCACTAGCAGTGGTACTAGTAGAGTAGTATATGTTTAGACAACTAACATTTCCTTTACAAAAGAACAATTCAAAAAGACTCCTATTCTATCCGTTGACAATTCGAAATCATGCACTGTCCAATAATATCATTAGATTAGGATTTTGTTGACAATTTAGGTGTCTCAAGTGAAAGTACAACTAAAAGTATTGTAGTAATAACTATTTATCGCAGGACTAATATAATTTGGCTTTGAAGAAATATCTAATAATCCGAGTAGTTGAGTGTTTCAAAGTTATTATCATCCAAAGTATTTAAATACCATTATCAGATGCTTTTACTTACTTTATTGATTCGTTTCACATTAAATAATCATTTATTAAATACCATAAATCTATAACCATCTGAAAAATAAACAATTAAAAGTGACTTCCAATGTTCTATTGTTTATTTAATATTTTGAAGACATCAGTTTTGAACCAAAACGAGAACGATGAACCGCAATAGGTTACCTTTTCTATCGTTTTCTAGTTCACTTAGGAACATGGAATACATAATTTTGCAGTGGGGGGAGAGATGGAACGTGGAGTTCTATTTATTTATTTACTTCCTTTTTTTTAAACCCTACCTTAGATGTTGAGAGAAGAATGAGAGGTGAAGATGAGCCAGAGAGAAGGTCGGTTGTGAGAGCAACTGTCTCAGATATTTTTTTTATTATTGAATCAAAAAGAAATCAACTATACAATTTATATTATTTCCTAATTCACTAACTTAACCCAATACTAACTTGTGTCCAACTAACTAACTATAGTTACAACTAATGTAACTCATTATATACACAATGTATCACTACTACTAAGACTTAACATTTTTACACTCCTCCTCAAGTTGGGTGATGAAATACATTGATCATCCCCAACTTACACACCATATCATTGTGTATCTGCTTTCCAAGGCCTTTAGTCAATATGTCTGCCACCTGATTTTTGCTACATACATGTTCTGTCTTGATCAACCCACTTTGTATCCTTTCTCGTATAAAATAACAATCTATCTCTATGTGTTTACTGAGCTCATGATACATGGAATTTGAAGCTATTTGCAAATCTGCCTTGCTATCGCAAAATAACTCCATGGGCAGTTCAATCTTCATTCCTAGCTCCTGCAACAGTCCCTGTAGCCAAACAAGTTCTGCCATTGTAGTTGCCATACTCCTGTACTCAGTTTCAGTTGAGCTCCTTGACACTGTACTCTATTTTTTGATTTTCAGGAGATTAGTGAATCCCCCAACTTGATACAATACCCTGTCACAGACTTCCTGGACACCATACATGATGCCCAGTCTGCATCACAAAAGGCAGTGATTCTTCCAGATTTTCTGCTACTCATTAGTAACTCCAATACTGGTTGGTCTTTTATATATCTAACCACCCTTAAAGCTGCTTCATAATGCAACTTTGTTGGAGCATGCATGTACTGACTCAATGTTTGGACAACAAAAGAAATATATGGCCTAGTGATAGCCAGATACAATAACTTTCCCAACAATCTTTGATATGGTCTTCTATCTTCTAATTCTGGACTTGTACCTTTATCAGATTCAAACAACTTGTCATACTCAAGGCTGGTGAACTTCTGATTTTGTTCTAGAGGTGTTGTAAGTGGCTTTGCTCCCCCTAGATCACATTCTGAGATTAATTCTAAGGCATACTTTCTCTGATTCATAAGTATACCCTTAGATGATCTTGCAAATTCAATCCCCAGAAAATATCTCAATTCCCCTAAGTCTTTCATTTTAAAGTTGTTGTTCAGGATATCCTTAGCTTCTTCTATCAGTTTAGTGTCATTCCTAGTGATTAACAAATCATCCACATATACTAGAATGATTACAAGATTGGCATCTTGGCCTTTTGTGAGTAAAGAATAGTCTAGCTTACTTTGTGTGAATCCTAATTGTATCAAAGCTGTAGTAAATTTTAGGTTCCATTGCCTACTAGCTTGTTTCAGCCCATACAAGGATTTGAGGAGACTGCACACTTTGTTCTCCCCCTAGCCACCAAATCTTTGAGGTAGAGACATATATACCTCTTCAAACAAGTCCCCCTGTATGAAGGCATTATAGACATCTATTTGGTAGAGAGGCCAGTCAAACTGGGCAGCTAAAAAAATAACACACCTGACAGTAACCATTTTGACCACAGGAGAGAAGGTATCATGATAGTCTAATCCCTCTTGTTGAGTGAAACCATTGGCCACTAATCTAGCTTTATACCTTTTTACACTACCATCAACTTTGTACTTCACCTTGTACACCCAAGGTATCTTACCTGCATGTAGATCAACTATATCCATGTATGGTTATTAGTAAGGACATCAATTTCTAATTTCATTGCCTGAATTCAGTTAGAATCTTGGACAGCTTGAACAAGTGAAGTAGGTTTAGTAATAACAGAGAAATCTGCTAGATAAGCATGGTAAGAAGGAGTAATAGGACAAGAAGTTTGATAGAGGGTATGTAGTAGTGAAAAAAGAGTGAACATAGTCTGTTAGCCATAAATGAGGTTTGGATGTTCTGGTGGATTTTCTCAGAGGAAGGGAAGGATAAATGGAAAGTACAGAAGGAGATGAAAAGGTAGATTAAGGAGAAGGAGTAGATGAAGGATGTGAGTAGGAGAAGAAGTTAGGGATTCATTGGTTGAGGGTGAAGGAATAACATGATCAATAGAAGCAGGACTAGATTTTGCAGCAGGAAAGATGTCATCCACATAAGATTATGAAACAAATGGCATAGAAGGGGAAACTTGTGGTTCAAGAAAGGTGAATTTAGGATGTTTGAAGGGAAACACTGGCTCCCTAAAGGTGACATCCCTATTCACAAAGAAGGTGCATGTTGTAATGTTGTACATTTTGTACCCTTTCTGAGTTTTTGAATAACCCATGAAAACTGCTGGGATGACTTTGGAAGAAAGTTTGTCAGAAAAATTGGGCTTGGTGGCATAAAACAAGTAACCAAATACCTTCAGGTATGTGAGAGGAGGTGGTATGCCATGAAACAATTCATAGGGTGACTTCCCTGAAAGAGATGAAGAAGGCAATCTATTTATAAGGAAGGATGTTGTGAGGACACATTCACCCCAGAACTTTAATGGAGTATAGGCTTGGAATCTAAGTGCCTTTACCATTTCAAGCAAGTGCCTATGCTTTCTTTCAGCCACCCCATTTTGTTGTGGAGTGCTAACGTAAGAACTTTGATGAATTATCCCAAAATAGTTAAAGAAATTAAGACAGTGAGAATTAAAGAATTCAAGACCATTATATGATCTGACAATTTTAATAGAGGCAGATAATTGATTTTTAATCAAGGCAAAGAAATTCTTGATAAAAACAATAGCATCACTTTTTTGTCTCATCAAGTAGACCCAAGTCATTCTAGAATAGTCATCAACAATGGTAAGGAAAAATATGAAACCATTATAGGTACATTGTCTATATGGACCCCATATATCCATGTGTACAAGTTCAAAAGGAGATACAGTTTTTAACACACTAGTAGGAAAAGAAAATCTAGTTTGCCTTGCTAAAGGACAAATGGTATAAGATTTAGATGCTTGACCGGACAAGTGACTCTTCAGCATTGGGATTTCTTGGATGACAAAAACTGGTGCATGACCAAGCCTTTGGTGCCATATTGAGAAGTGATCAGACTCAGTAGAAGATAAGCAATGATGTTAAGGAACAAGATAAGTTGAGGGTGTACAGACTTGAACTGGTGAAGGCTTATTGACAGGTTGAAGTAAGTATAAACCATTATTCTCCTTACCAATCCCCCTAACCTTTTCAGTACAGATGTCCTGGAAGATACAAAAATCAGTATAAAAACCAACCCAACATTGTAGTTGCTTAGTTAGTTTTGAAATGGATAAGAGATTATACTTGAAAAAAGATACATATAGCACATTAGTCAGTAAATTGTCAAACAAAGATACTGAACCAATATGTGTGACAGAGGTAGTTTGGCCATTTGGTAGGTAAACTTGGCTACAGTTTGGAGCTATTAATTCAGAGTTAAACAGATGATCTAGGCTAGAAATTATGTGATTTATTGCCCCTGTATCTATCACCCAAAGAGTAGTATCACAGTATATAGTTGAACAACTATTATAGCAAGGGGATATACCTGCCATGTTGATGTTTGTCTTTTGTGGAGGTGGTGCTTTGTTGATCAGCTGCAGGATCTGTTGGTATTACTCTAGGGTGAAGACATGCATAGTCATTCCAGGAGCAGGAGTAGTGCAATTGTCAGCTTGATGTGCATTGTGTGCAATGTAGTTAGAAGCAATAGAGTTGTCATCATAGTTTGCATTATTCACTAAAGGGACTTTGTTGCCATTACATGTTTTTTGAGATCTGTCAGAAGTCCTTCTTTTAGTGTTCTTAAAATTGGTAGGGTATCTAACCAACTTATAGAAATTCTCCTTTTTGTGACCTCTCATATGAGAGTAATCACAGTAGAGTGTGTTTGTCTTCTTGAACTTATTCCCTGTACAAATGAAAGAATTGTGGAGTCATTCAAAATTCAGTTGCTGGAGAGGCTGGACACACTGATTTATCATATTTGATTGCATCCTCTAACTTTCATATTGTATGATCATATTGTAAGCTTGATCCATAGAAGGACTGGAAACTGTCATCAAAATTTGACTGCGAGATTGTGAGTAAGTCTCATTTAGCCCCATCAGAAATTGCATCAGCTTTTGCTGCTCTATGTGGTCTGCATAGGTCTTATCACTTCCAGGAAGAGGAACCATAGACAAGTATTTATCCCAAACATTCCTCATTTTTGAGAAATACTCAGAAACAAATGACGTACCATATATCATTGTATAGATCTCTCTATGTAGTTGATATACTCTAGTGAGATTCCTCTTGTCAAAATGTTCTTTTAAATCCAACCAGACCTTATAAGCATTGGATGAGTACATCAATCCATTAGCTAATTCTCTCGAAACTGAATTCTGATCCACGACAAGACAAAGGCATTACATCTGTCCCACTCATGAATTAAATCTCCTCTATAATCTTCCCTTTTACAGCTACCATCAATAAAACCTAATTTATTCTTCGCTAACAGTTCAACTTTCATAGAGTTACTCCAAGCGGTGTAATTTTTAATTCTAGTTAGCTGTTGAGGGATGAGAATACAACCTGGAGTGTTAGACGGGTGCATGAATAAAGGATTCCTTGGATGAATATCTGTGAATCGCTCTGTGTGGTCCACTATGGATGTCGTCACCGGGCGTCGACATGTCATCACTTGTGCTCGGTATTTTTCACGAGATTCTTTAGGAATCAACAAGAGAAGAAACAATTGCTGCTCTGGTTGACCTAGAATTCACCAAAAAGGATGATTTTGACTCACATACGAAGTAATTTCCCAAATCCAACAATGGCAAAAAATTAGGGTTTGTTTGCTACAATCCTTTGATGGATTCAACCAATTGCTTGTCCGATCGTTCTCAAATGCTCATTTACCCGCTCAATCACCACCGATCGATGGCTCTGATACCATGTTGAGTGAAGAAGAGCTAGAGAGAGAAGGTCGGTTGTGAGAGCAACTGTCTCAGATATTTTCTTATTATTGAATCAAAAAGAAATCAACTATACAATTTATATTATTTCCTAACTCACTAACTTAACCCAATACTAACTTGTGTCCAACTAACTATAGTTATAATTAATGTACCTCATCATACACACAATGTATTACTACTACTAAGACTTAACATTTCTACATTAGAAGCTCCTCTTTTTATTCCCGTGTTGATTCGAACTCGCAATCTGAGGACGGAAGGTTAAGGATGCTTACGACTTTAGCAATCCTCTCTTGTTATCGAATGTTAACTTGCATTGTAGCTAAATTTTTTTCTTTGTTTAATTGGAGTGAGGTGCGTCTGGAAGTTGTGATATTATTTGAAGGAAATATGAACCCACCAGTTACTATCAATTTAATAGAAATATTTTGTTAATTAGTGTTTCTTAGTGGGAAATATTTGGTTTGAAGAAGTTTGGATAATGGAATTCAAAGGAAAAAGTGAAAGTTGGTTTAGAGAAGCTGCAACTAATTGCACCTGTTCACTCTACTAACACCACCAGCAATAGCCAATAGGTTGAGCTTAGTCCCAAAGTGCAAACCAACAAACTTTTAATTATTACTATAAGGAGTCACAATTCTATATGTTTTTCTTAAGTTAGTTTGATTAGTTGGGCAAAAGTATGGTGTCTTACTTTTTAAGTCTTATAGAAGTATTTGTCAAAATATGTTTCATTCCCTCTTTCTCGTATTAGCATACGTGAAGCAATGCGTGATTTCAAAGGATTGTGATTACTTAATATACTTGTTCTCACACTCCACACTCAAAGAGTTCCATGATTTCTTCCATTATTAATTAAAATACCTAGAGTTAGCTCTTCCTCATCCTTCACTCGGTAAAAACTTACCGGCCTTCGCACCAAACTAATGATAATATGACATTTGTATTTCATATATTTGTTTATTACCTAATTATAGTTAATTAATGTGCATTTTATTTCATTTAATACTTAATCATGGTAAAGTACATTAGTTGATGTAAACACCGGATGTGAATAAGTATTCACACACTCGCCCACTATAACCTCGAGTAAAGAATTTAATTTATGATAGCAAGATATTTTCTATCATCGCCACTTTCCAGGGTGCTTTTGGTTGTTCAAGAGATCAAGACTCTTGCCTTTTAGCTGTAGCCCTCAAACAACCGCCCAACAAGAAAGCAACGCTGATTTTTTTATTTTTATTTTTTTAAATTTATACACTACTATGCTTAACATGCTGTTTGACCCTTTAAAATGCAAACGAGAAATGAGATTAAAAAAATAAGAAAAATTATGTCAACGAAGGTACAAAAAAAAAGGGTAGAAATTTATAAACAGTGAATTAATGAGTAATATTATTTACTGAACTTCTAAGATGTCTGTCAAAATTGAGACTGCTAATTACAGCTCTATGTTGTATCCTAGAAGCACTACAACAAAAAAGGCTATCTATGCAATTTATTTCTAACATCTCACTAACTAAATTGACATCATCTCTTCTTTATCTTCACTGCAATTTCTGACTGTGCTCCAACTCTCATCCCATCTCCACTCTAGTTTTCCGGATTCCATACACAATTTTGTTACCCTTTGCAGAGGAGAATCCATTGAGCTAATTGTTTGCCTTGAATCTTCGACAGTTTCTGATTCCTCCACTGAATTCCAAATGCGTTGATCAAGAATGCTTGTTGGGGAACTTGTGATGAAATCTTCATTTATCTTGCTGTTTGAATCTGATTGCTCAAGAAACGGATGGTTGAGGAGCTGTTTAGCAGACCATCTCTGTTTTGGATCCCTTCTCAAGCATTCACTTAAAAAATCCCTTGCTTGTGAAGAGAGAAACTTTGGAATTTCTGGGATTTGGCCAGAAAATGCAATATGGCAAAGCAAAGAAGCAGGACTGTGGTTAACAGTAGTCCAGGGTGAGGCACCAGTGGCCATTTCAATAATAGTGCATCCTAATGCCCATATATCAGCTGCAAACCATTGTTCTTCTCCGCGTGCTACTTCTGGTGCCATGAACATAGGCGTGCCCCCGTTCCACTTAGCCTGATCGACTGACCTAGCACAACCAAAATCTGCAATTTTTGCACCGGTTTTATATAACAGAATGTTGTGTCCCTTAATGTCACAATGCACGATCCCTTTCGAATGTAGATAGTTTAATCCATGAATAATTTGCTTCGTGTAATATCCGATCAACTGCTCATTCAACGGGCCTCCCTGTATTTCATCGGTGAGCGTTCCGTCGGGCATGTACTCCATCATAAGATTGAACATGTCCTTGTTGTTCTCTCTGGTTACATCGTACCCCTTGTAGCACACTATATAAGGGGAGCTCAAAGTGGACAAAATTTTCTGCTCCTTTTGCAAAAACTCTGACTGTGACAACTCCACGGATTTGACAGCAAAAATCTCGCCAGAGCAGCGTGACATGGCAATCGAGACGGCAGCAGAGGAGCCGTGGCCGATGGTGGCGCCTCTTGTCCAGTCCATTTGAAGAAGAATTTGGTAAGTAGCAAGTTAGCAAGTGAAAGAAGTTTTGGACATGTTCTGTTTTTCTGGTTGGTTGGACACTACAAAGAGGTTTATATATAACAGAGAATGTCCAAATTAGTTTGGTAACGCTTAGGTGGGCCTTTTTTTCCTCTTAAAGACTTGAAAAGTTTGACGATTCCTTTAACGTGGACAAATGCTTTGTGGCCTTTAGGCAGCTTTGAGTAGGCCGGATGACATCACTTACTTGGCGAATTGGGTTGCTGCCACGTGGCAAACTTTAGAATGAGAAAGTGAAAAATAGGTAATTTAATTTCAATTATATTTTTAAAACAAATTTGAAACTTTGAATGAGTTGATTAGGTTGGATGCTTTGTTTTGTATTGGGGGTGTAACGACTTTTGAAGATTAAATTTGGGAGTTAGGGAAGGTGTGAGAGTGGGTTTAACCACCCAAAAATGTCTGCTATTGATATTTCTTCCCAATTATATTCCACCTTTTGGTAGTCAGTGAATTCAAGTGGAGGTATGAACTAATATTTTACTCCTTCACATGATGAAAATTTGTCAGCAGTATTAAACTTCTTGGTATAAAAAATAAGTAGAAAGTCAATCAAAAGAAAATAGTTTTATAGCTAATTACGTTCTTGGTGATTATGTCATATAATTTCTTTCTTAATGCTATTTCAAGATCCAAATCATCTTTACTTGCCTTCTAGAAAGTATTAATATGATCAGAATTGCTTTTCAACGTGCCAAAGCAAGAATCATATACTTGGAAAACCTTGAGATTTCAACCATTCCAAGACAGTGACCAAAGGCCAAAGGGACTGTTAGTAATGGTTCTTAACTTGTAAATCAAGACTCTGGAAATCCTCCAATGTGGCAAAGTGTTAAGCAAAAGTGCACCCAAATCATTCCTCTCATTTTACACACCAGTTTCTACCCAATGCTGACTTTCAGTTTCTGCTGCCTTCTTTTCTGGTTTTCCCTAACTTTTCTTCATTAAGATGGACATAATTTTTTTGAATATAATTTCTTGAATTCAACCATTGCTAAGTAGAAAATCTTGAATACATGTAGGGTGAATGTACACAATAAAGAGAAGATTAGGCAGTTTCAGAATCACTGCATTTCTTCTCTTTTTATAAAATTTTAATTAACTATGAATTTTACCAACTTTACTTTAATGCATGTACCAAACCATGTGTATCTGAATTTCATTCTAATGTGAATATTACTGCTAACTGTTTACATTGATTTCCTACCTATTAATTATCCTAGCAATGGACTGCCAGGATTTAATAAAGATAATAAATTTTCGAAACATATGAATTCTCCATTTTAAAGACCCATTTTAAATAGGATATGATTTTACTTTTTTCTTCCAATAACATAACTAATAGGCAAATGGGGAAGTTCAAACTCGGGAAATTGCAGTAGTGAATTGTATCTCTTTTGCTAATGAGTAGTTTCGCCAAATAGGAGCTATTGAATTTGATTTGAAGGAGTAGTAAAATAATAAGATATAAAGAATAATAGGTAATATACTAGGTGGGCTTTAGTGGTAAAGTAAAACTGTAAAAGCCAAAAATCAAAAGAATACCTTATCACTTGGCCTAAGGTCAGAGCATCTCTAAATCTAACAAACATTTTAATAAAATAATGCTTTCGTTTTACTTGTCCAATATACTAAAAATAAATTTTTTATTTTACTTATCTATTTTAACAAATCAAGAGAGATTAATTATTTTCTTTCAATATTACCTTTAGCATTAAGTACCCACATTTCCTAAACATTGCTCCATTGATAAGATTTTAATAACAATTAATAAATATAATTTATTAAAATAATCTCTTAATAAATAATTTTTAAGGGAGTGAAAACTAATATTTGGCTAGTAAAAGTAAACAGAGGAAGTAGATAACAAGTTTAATTAATTTTGCTTCTTGATTCCCATGTTTCATGCCATGCCGCCATGTAAAAAAAGCGTGGGCCAAATACATAGACAGGCCCTTAAAGTTACTAATCTTTACTTAGACACTTTAACTAAGGCATTTTTTTATTAGACACTCTAACCTCATCTAATGTGTACTAATTAAACTCTAATTTGACAGTCCCAAATAAAGTAAAGAATGCGAGGTTCAAACATGCCTGATGTGGCAAATGAACTAGGCAAAATACATAAACAGGCCCTCAAACTTGGCCTCAGCTGGCAAGTATGCCCTCCAACTTTGGTGTGCACAATAAGGTACCTCCACTTGTATAAAGTTGAACACGTAAATGCAAATGACGTGACACTGATGTGACACATAAATTTTGCAGGTGTCTAGATGATCATTTTGTAAGTTTGAGTGTTCAACTGACAATGTGAAGACAAGTTGAGGTGCCTACTTGTGCACACCAAAAGTTAGAGGGCATACTTGCTAACAAAGGCCAAGTTTGAGGGCATGCTTATGTATTATGCCAATGAACTAATAAGTGAATGACACATGGAAAACAACAGGAAACAAAAAGAAGGAAAGACTCATTCTCGATAAAATCCCCACCCCTTTCGTTTTCCTCTTTCCCTTGTCATCTGCATGTGTATATTATTTTTCTCTATCCATTAGAAAATAATTGGACATATACTGTGCATAAATAGAAATAAATATAACTTCCACCGACAAACTTCAACTTTGACAGTGGTTATACTCATCCTTACATGAGTGTTCCTTCAAGCCATACATAACCTGATTCAGCTGAAGATGACGATTCAATTGGGGAAAAATTCCAACAAGAGAAAAATCAACAATGACCCAATTGGACAGAAATCTTACAAGAGAAAGAGATCAACATTGACCCAGTTAAAAATGATGAATTTGCTTTTGATTTTAGAGGATAATTAGAGAGAGTTTATTTATGAGAAGCCAATTTGCTCTTTGATGGAAAGATTAACCCCTTTGAAACCATCACTACAGTTTCACTTTAGATCAAAACACATTGATTCTTCAAAATCACCAAAGTCCGTGAAGAAATTGTTTAAGCAAGCATTCTCTCCCCGACTCAAGAAGAAAGATTTTGATCCATTCGCCGCTGCTACTTTTGAAAATTGATCAGAGAACCTCCAATTTAAAAAATTCTTCAAGCTCAAGAAATTAAAAATAGATATATTCGCAGGGTGATAAGCTTTTCATGATATTCGTGAATATATTTTGAAATAACAGTTTTTAGTTATCTTTTGTTTATTAGTAATATTTATTACTTGTTTCGTAGCTGAATGAAGAAGGAGAAGGATTCAAATTGAAGAAAGTGAGAAATGGGGAGCGTTGTATGATATTGTGTGGAAGAACTGACGAACGAATCTGGAACCATCCAATCTTTCACGCGCTTAAAAGATGTGTAAAATACACATTGTGCGATGTTAGAAACTTGTGTTTAATTGGCACACATTAGATGAGATTAAAGTGTCTAATAACTAAATATCTTAGTTAAAGTATTTAAGTAAAAATTGATCACAACTTTAATGGGTTGTCTATGTATTTAGCCAAAAGCGTGGCTCTAAGTTTGGGGATAATAATTAACATATTAAGGAAGGCTCTCCAACTGGCTCCAACTTAAATTAACCTCTTTGAAAATTGTTCTGACAGAAAAAATGTTTTAAATATAGGAAATTTGACATCGGATTATAACATATACGAGGAATTGACAAATTATTTGCCTTAAATTATGTTGGAAAAGGCAGTCCCCCCCCCCCCCCAAAAAAAAAAAAA